GGGGGACTGGAATGAGCCAGGACTGACCAGGCAGCTCAGACCTGTCATTTCAAGGGCAGGATGCCTGTGGGGAGAGGAGAGCTGGTCATCTGGTTTCAGATAAATGCCAATTTTGTGCTAATTAATTAGAAATCCAGCATAGATAACAAGAGGGTTTAGAGGATTGTTTAGCTAAGTATTCCTGTAGAGCCATGTGTAACTGCCAAGCAGCTGAGAAAGGGATTTCACTCTACTGTGTTCTTTAGAGACGCACACGTATAAGAGAAAGCAGAGTCTGGGAGCTGAGAAATCAGGACTTTGCTCACAGTCTCAGGCCATAGCTCCATGTTCATTAATACCAGATCACACTGTAACACTGATCTGAATCAAATCAGACATAAAGACGTGACAGCAGCTTCTTTCCAGTCAGCCAGACAGTATAGGCAGTGCACATCTAGATCGATGACAGCAGCACCTGAGTCACCACCAAGTTGCCTTGACGAAGCTGCTCCTTCAAACCTTTGGGTTTTCCGTATCTTGTTTGTTGTTTTTTTTAAATCAAATTATTACATTCAGCACACATCCCTCTGTGGGGATACAAACAGCTGTGCTGTGATAATCATTGCAAGAAGATGGATAAGAAGCTGCCTAAGCCACGGCGCTGCTGTAGAGAGAATTACTGTCAATTTTTGACCTCAAGCTCAGCATGTGGCTTTAGGGAAATTATTTGACTTTGGCACGTGACATTTTCCTTCCTCGTAGGCGAGAAGTGATGGCGAAGACTTTCCAGAATCAAGGGAGGGAAAACAGATCAGTATTTGGAAACTACTTTACCAATCCTGCCTGAAATGGAGTAAGTGAGACTGATGTGGAGCCATCAGACAGAGACAACAATATTCGAGTACTCAGCCAGTACAGAGGGTTGATGCACCCTGTCTAACACATCCTGAACCAAGTTGCCTTGACGAAGCTGCTCCTTCAAACCTTTGGGTTTTCCGTATCTTGTTTGTTGTTTTTTTTAAATCAAATTATTACATTCAGCACACATCCCTCTGTGGGGATACAAACAGCTGTGCTGTGATAATCATTGCAAGAAGATGGATAAGAAGCTGCCTAAGCCACGGCGCTGTTGTAGAGAGAATTACTGTCAATTTTTGACCTCAAGCTCAGCATGTGGCTTTAGGGAAATTATTTGACTTTGGCACGTGACATTTTCCTTCCTCGTAGGCGAGAAGTGATGGCGAAGACTTTCCATAATCAAGGGAGGGAAAACAGATCAGTATTTGGAAACTACTTTATACCAATCCTCCCTGAAATGGAGTAAGTGAGACTGATGTGGAGCCATCAGACAGAGACAACAATATTCGAGTACTCAGCCAGTACAGAGGGTTGATGCACCCTGTCTAACACATCCTGAATGAAATCATCCCTACCCCTAAGGCTGCTGCAAGGGTGAAACTTCACCCATTAGGCTGTGTGATCAATATAAACAAAGACAGAGCTAAGCAATAAAAACACAAAGACCCTTTCTGTAAGTCTGGAGCTGTGAATAAGGAGACCAGTGAGTTAGGGGGGAGGATTTGCAACTTGGCTTTTAGCAAAGGCTCCTCTCTCCAGAGAGCAAATCAGAGTATAGTAGGTAGGTGCTAAATAAATATTTAGAGAATGAGAAAGTCTCCATTTAATGAGAAATTATTTGGCAAAACGAGCTGGGGAAATGGTTTCAGTAGCAGAGTAACAGAAGCCGGCATTGCGTTTTGCCCCATGGGATGCTGTAGTTCTACTCGTGTTGCGTAAGACAGGATCTCCAGCTGGGACAGACACAGGAAATATAACTCATTACTGAAATGCAAGAGCCTTTCAGGGTTAAACCACTGTTAGACCAGCCAGATTCATTCCCTAGTCACAGAATTAGCCTAGCAGCAGCTTTGAAAGATTACTATCTTTCTTCATAACAGTGATGTTGCAGACAGCATGGTCTAAGAATAGTGGTGATGCCAGGTTTGTAGGAAGAAGTAATTTTTTTCTTTTATGTTCAAGGGCTGAGCTCCATTTCCACACCTTTATCTACATCATTAGGCTGTTGAGATGGCAGTTGCCTGCTTAAATGTTAATTACTATATCTCTCTTTTAAGATGTGTTTTCAAGGGGTTAGTGTCTCAATCTTCCTTGTAATTACATGGAGTGGTTAGTACAACTCCTCAGCTATATCCCAGGTCCCCTGAGAGCTCGTCCTACTGTAGTTTCCAGTAGATGAACACTCACAGAACTAGTCCTTCAGCGAGCTGCTGTCTTCAAGTATTCAGCCAGATAATGAGCCGATTACTATGCCTGCTCTTGGTGACAGCAAGCTCTGTGCACAGCCAGGCTGTGCATCACCAATTGCTGTGGTTGATATTCCTCTCATTATCTCTATCCCTTTGACTTGGTGGGGCTGCTTTTACAGAAGCCTGCCCCTTTTTGGGCAAGAACTTCCATAGATTATTGATGTAGCAAGGAGGAAGACGCAAACCTCGTCAAAGTCTTATTATTGAGCTTTTATACTCAAACAGCCACATGGCCATGCTGTGAAGTGAATCTCAAGTGCTGAGCATGGCTTTGTCATGTCAGCTGTGACATGTGTGCATCAGGGATGGAGCAGCTGTGATTTATCATCCCCCTAGAGCTACGAAGGGGAAATACAGCTTCCTCAAATACAAGGCAGTTCCTACGTGAACAGCAACATTTGAGATTGCAAATTAAAAATAACAATGTGTGTTGGAAACTGCTAAATTTAAGTGTCAGATTCTTTCTTTAAAAGCTATAAGGTAGCTAGTTCCTCTTCAAAGGAAAGGAGTAGGAGCTTGTCAATGCAGGGAAAATGTTTGGAATAGCAACTGCCCACCAGTTTCTCCTGCAAACACTCATACTCTGTACTTCAAGGCTAGATTAAGTGAAATTACTTGAAGACACTCGCTGCAGATGACAGCAACATGTTCCAATAGCTCTCCTGCCTTAGCTCCATCATCCCTGCACACACACCATAGCTTGCTTTGCAGAAGTAATCCTATATAGATAAACACCAAGATTTGCCCAAGATACAAGAAAAAAAAGGGTCTTTTAAGAAATTATTAAGTGGCTGAGAAACCCCACTTTTCCACAATCTGAACAGATTTAAAAGTGTTTTATACACCATGGAATCTGACAGAGAAGAACCTCTTGGGCAAATCACTGACTGAGGCAACTCCAGAAGACCCAGCAAAAACCTCACAGCATAGCAGGCAAATTGGCCCCAGCCTTTCTCCAGTTCCTAAGAACTACAATGTCTGGGCAAAGCACGCTCCAGGTTTCTGTCTACCTCTGGTCCACTAGAGGACAACCTAATAATGATTAACTCCTTTGGTGTACACAGTAAAAAACCCATATGAAAATGCTGCTGCCGAATCTGATTTACAGTCTATGCTGAGATTGTTGCTGGTATATGTGCTGGACCCCATTTTTAATGGTATAGATTACTTCTAGTCCTGATTGATACAACCTTATGAAGCTCCAAAAGATGGCCCCTACAGTTGATGTCAGCCTTTACAACTACAGAGAAAGAGACAGAAGCAAGGGAGACTTCCAGACAGACGCAGTTTTTATAAAGCAAACAAAATCCCCTATACTGCACTCAACCACAGAGAAAAAGCTGCCTGTTGCTGCTGGTTTTCTTACAGACTTCTGACATGATATCATGCTTTTTCAGTGCAGGAAATGCTCAGAGGTACAGAATGATCCTTTCACCCTGGTAATGTGTGATTTATCAAACCATAATGGAGGAACCGAACTCATGTATAAACAATGGTCAGAAAGCACAACAAAATCATCAGCTCAAAGCCACAGAAAAGAGCAGGCTATTGCTCTTGCAAGGCACAGAAAAAGAGCAAAGCAGTTTTTCAAAACCCGAGGAGGTTCTTGCCTAATATTTTTAAGGCCAAAACCATAGAACACAAATAAAATCTGAGCTAGCAATAGAGCTAATGTCTGCAGCTAGGAAGCGAATGAGCTGTGACAAGAAGTGCAACAGCAGAAAATTATTACAAGTGTCTCAGGTTGGAATTGGAGTTAGAAGGGTCAGAGGGTCAAAGCAACAAAGTTTTCAGTGGATAATTTGGTACTTTGACATTCCCCAACCCCGCTAGTGAGGATGTGCCAGTGACTCAGGGATGAAAACTGCATGTGTCTCTGCAGGAGAGAAAGATACACACCGAAGGTGGGAGATCAGAGCTACTTAAAAGCCAAAATCTGCTATTTCTCTCCTACTGATGATAGCGAGAGCAGGCTGGCTGTAATTGGGAAGGCGTAGATCCCAGCCATCCCTTTGGGGGCGGCACGGGGAAGCGATGTGAAGGGGTGCTCACTGCAACCCTACCGAGGCACTGCCGAGCCCCCGGTCGGGAGTCGGCTCCCTCCCACGCGAGGAAGGCAGCTCCCCGCGTCCCCGCTCAGCGCCGGCATTCCCTCCCACTCGACGGCGGTGGAGGGATGCTCTCAGACGACGTGCCTGACGGAGTCAGCTGCTCTTTGATGTCAGTACCTGCTCCGGGCTCGGCGGGGCGGGAGTGGGCGAGCGGAGCTCCGCGCAGCCGAGCCGCAGCCTCTGCTCGCCGGCTGCGGGAGGGCTCCTGCCTCCCACACTCTGCCCGGCCCCGGCGGTGAAGACAAGGGGGTGGGAGGGGGAAGACACCCCATTGTTGCCGCGCATCCACCAAGGGAACTTGCCCAACTTTCTCCATCCCTGACACCCAGCCTCACTGCTATGGCCCCCACCAATTCCTCCCGCAACTTCTCCGCGCCGGAGGCTCGGAACGGCTCAGGTGAGCAGGGGCTGCGCGGGGCGGAGGCGCACCTCCCCGGCGGGGAGCCCGCGCTGGGGCCGGGGCGTGGGCGCGGGGAGCTTTGCGGGGCAAAGCCCACCTGGCACATGCCTCTTGCACTGCTCTGCAGCGCTGAGCCCGGCGCTGCGGGGCCGATCGGTACCCCGTGAAGTGGGAGAAGCTGAGCACAGGGGCACAGCCCCCCCCTCCAACAGCCCCCCACCCCTCCACAGCCCCCCATCCCCGGGCTGCCGGTCGGGAGCGGCCGCCTTCAGCACCCGGGCGCGGACAGCTCCGGGCCCCCGGCGGGGCGGCGCACGGCGGGCGGGACGGGGCCAAATCCTCTCGGGGGCTGGGGAGGGACCCCCGGGGCCCAGACCTCCTTCCATCCCGGATAAAAATCAAGTCCGACCACCGTCCCCGAGTCCAGCGGCTTGAAGCCATTCGCTGCTACCTGTTGGCTGTGAGACGGTACTAACTCCAGCAGCCTGTTAGGCTTAGCTGCAGAGAAGAGATGAACCGGCGCAGCTAGGCAGGGAAAGGAAGGCACAGAACATGAGACATCGCTGGAAAAGGGAAGCAGAGATCCCCACCAGTCTCCTGTTCCCTCCATACTACCACTGTTCCCAAATCAATGGTTTACAGTCAGGCAGACCAGTTCTCAATGGTGCAAGTTGGTGAAACTCTTCAACAGAAGGTGTTTTAGAATGTAATCTTTGTCCCCCTCTCCACCAGCATGTCCTTTAGAAGCTGAAAGTGTGCATTAGGTGCTTCCTTCTGAAATGCAGTGAAGTAGTAGTTTCTTATGTATCTGGGCATAGCTGACGACAATAAACAGAGAAAAAAAAAATTAGGCCAGTCCTCATTCAGTTCACATACTGCAGTCCCCTTTGGGACATTTAAAAAAAGAGGCAGCCACAGATCTACAAGAAAAGACAAACCAATGCCTGAAGTAGCTGTTTCAGTAAACAAAGCACAGCCACTTGGATGTGCACAGAAGCAGCCTTGGAAATTCAGATTCAACCATGTCTCAAGATGAAAGAGACTTTAGGAAAGAGATAAAACTTTTGAGTATTTGATAGTCATGCACTTCTGACTACAGCCCATAATACACACATGGACTACAGCTTCACACTAGCTTCCAGCAAACAACACTTGAAAGTCTTGCTTGTACAAATACAGCAAGAAAGATGCTACAGCACTACACAGACTACCTTCCATGTGAAGCCTTTGGGCTTGTGTATGTTCTGCTGGAATGAGCTCAGCTGGCCTTACAAGTGTTACAGGGTCACCATGAGCAGGGTCACTGATTACACTGCAGGAACAGGACATTTTGTCCCAATTTCCAGCTAACCAAGTGGCCTTTATGTTTCATTCATAGAATCCATTCCTGACATATTCATAACAAAGTTCAGGGCTAGAAAGAGAGGGGAACAGAACTCATAATAGCTACGTGCAGAACAGCAGGACCAGAGTCATCGTCTTTCAATTTCTGGTCTGCCATCTTCAAGCATTAAGGAGGTGTGAGATCTGTTTGGATGTTCAGGGATGCACAGGCTGGATGTTAAGGAGTAAGCACCAAGTCTCAACAGGGTGCTGACGACAGTATGTTACCTATCAAAAGCCATGGAACATGCAACATTTCCTTGCATTAATGAGCAGCCAGGAGGAAAGGGTATCATTTAGAAGCCCAGGACTGGTCTGGACCAAGCTTTTTTGCCTGGCTTTCGCTTTCAGGCCCCTGCATCGTTGGCTGCTTTCTGTCATCTGCAGAGAGGCTTTTCCTATAAAATGGTGCTACAACAGCTCTACTGGATTCTGACTTTGGCCTTGCTTATCCCCAAGTTGGCTGCTTCCTAGTGCCAGAAGGACTGAGACAGCATCAGCTCATCATGTCCCACTTCTAAGAGCACTGAAAGATTACATACGGTTGATATGGCACACACTTTTCCAGCCACAGGCCAGGCCAGCAATGTAGTCCCAATTGTCTTGCCAATTCAGTAATGTAGTCCCAGTTGTCTTGCCAATTCAGTCTCTGTCACACCAAATTAAATCTGGAGAAGTTTGTACTCAAGGACTCTAGACATCAAAGTTAGCAAATACCACCTCAGCAAGTAGATACCACTTTGGCAGAGACAACACCTTATGAGTGTCTGTTATTTCACTTAATCTCATTTTGAAGATTCCCCTAGTTTCTATTGGAGGAGACCTCCCCGCTTCTCCTACAGCTATAGGCTGCTAAAGAGATGGAACAGTGAAAGCATTTCCAATTAACACCACATTGAATCATCTGCAATTCAGTGAAAGACACGTGCAGTCTAGGCTCAGGGGCTTGTCATGCATGGCTTTGTAACAGCCACACAAATAATTCACACAAAGCCTTCTCCAGAAAAAAATCAGGTCCCATAGGAGAGGAGTAATGAGATGAAATGAGATTTGCTTCAGCTGAGAAGGTGATTTAAGACTCCATCACACACTGCACATGACAGTCTCGCAGAATAGAACACACCACAATCAGTGCCTTAGACACCACCTTCTGGGCCCAAGAGCAGAAATCCCTGTTGGTTGGTACTGAGGGCTTGTGGCTTCAAAATGCAATTTTAAACACAGGCTGGGGACAAGGCAAATGTGAATTTGATTAAGTCTGGACCTCCACCAAAGCTGATAAGGTAAGTGCTATCAGGCAAGAATTTTACCTTTGAATTCCACCCACATTCAGAACCCAGAGACAACAGGTTTAAGTATTTTTTTTCCTCCATGTACAACCCAGGCATTCGCTGTTGAAGAGTCATTCTGAAACATACTCCCAAATCCCTGTCTGGCCACACACTTGGATTTCTTTTTAGAAACGAAACGAGAGGAAGGGAGAAGGGCAGGGAAGGAAGACGGGGAGGAGCACATGCTCTGGCCTAACCCAGAGAGAACAGAAATGGGACACAGCCAAGTTACAGCCCCAGATCTCACAATTTAGATAAGCATTAGTTATCTGCCTGCATGGTCAATGAACTCTGTGTCTCACAGAGTATCACAACTCACAAACCATCCAACAGACGAGCTGAAGCATTCCGACACAACAGCTTGGGCGTTGACTACATCCAGATTTTGTCACCCACATAGGCTTACTTCTCTGATATGGAAAGCACCAGCTGCCTCACCCACTCGCCTCAAAATGGGTGGACACCTAACACTCCCTGGAAAAAAAATTCCTTTCAGCTCCCTGTCAGACACTGGCAAGTGTAGAGGCACACCAGCCTGACTTTAGTCCCCCCAAAAAGAGCTGGGGAGGTTCAGGTCAAGACAGAAGTACATCAGGAGAGCTGAGGAAAGATATCTACACATGGCCAGATTTGGGTGGTGTGTTGCACACATTAGGTGGCAAAGGAGGAAATGTAAAATCCCCAGCTAAGCCTCACCAAGTCCAGCAGAGGGTCTTAAAAACCATTCCAAGCTATGCCTTTGAGGGGGATCCAGCTGCAGGACAGGGCAAGCACACAGAGATGTGAATGGGTTATCTCTGGGTTGCACTCATGGCTTTGGTTTGTTTTGGCAGTAGCAGAGAAGTCAGCACCGTACACCAACGTCATAATGCCCAGTCTCTTCAGCATCATCTGTTTCCTGGGCATTGTCGGAAACCTCATTGTCATCTACACTATTGTCAAGAAGAAGAAGCTGAGATGCAAACAGACTGTGCCCGACATTTTCATCTTCAACCTCTCCATTGTGGACCTCCTCTTCCTCTTGGGCATGCCTTTCCTCATCCACCAGCTCCTAGGCAATGGCTCCTGGTACTTTGGAGCTCCCCTATGCACCATCATCACTGCCCTGGACACCAACAGTCAGATCACCAGCACCAACATCCTTACAGTGATGACACTGGACCGTTACCTGGCGACTGTCTATCCTCTAAAATCTACCTACGTCCGGACCCCATGTGTTGCAGCTCTAGTTATCTGCTTGGTGTGGCTCCTCTCCTTCCTGACCATCATTCCTGTCTGGATGTATGCAGGTCTTATGCCTCTGGAGGATGGGACTGTCCGCTGTGCTCTCTTGCTTCCCAACCCAGAGACTGATATCTATTGGTTCACCCTTTATCAGTTCATGCTGGCATTCGCTGTGCCATTGATTGTGATCTGTGTGGTCTATTTTAAGATTCTCCAGCACATGGCCACCACTGTTGTCCCATTGCCCCAAAGGAGCCTCCAGGTACGTACCAAGAAAGTCACCCGCATGGCAGTTGCCATCTGCTCTGCCTTTTTTATTTGTTGGGCTCCCTTTTACATCCTCCAACTGGTTCACCTTGGCATTGACACACCATCCATGGCTTTCTTCTATGCCTACAACTTTGCCATTAGCTTGGGCTATGCCAACAGTTGCCTCAACCCCTTCCTTTACATTGCCCTCAGCGAGACCTTCAAGCGCCAGTTCTTAGTGGCCATCCGCCCTGCCAAAGAGCCATGTCGCAACAGCAGCTCTGTCAATAACAACAGCACGACAGAGGCTAGTGTATGTCTAAAACTGGCACCAGAATCCACCCAGCAGACTCAGTTTCTGGAGGACTTTTCCCCACGTTCACTACCTGTGGCTGTTCACTAGGGTACTCTGAAGTGACCACAGCAAAAAGCCTTCAGATCTATAAATCAACGGAGAAGCAGCTGCTTCAGGCAATTCTTGGTGAAGCACATGAACCACAAGCTTCCACCTCCAAGAATCCAGGTGCCTCCCTTCCCATTGCAGGGCTCTGCTCCTACGCTGCCCTTGGCCTACGAGATACTGCGCACTGCTGCTTCCTTCCACTCCTGCACAAGAGGACTCTATCACACAAGACACTGACCCCCACAAAAGGATGGATGGCAAAGGGAGAAAGGACACAGAGGACTTCAGGGGGGAATGTTCACCCTGGAAGAGTAAAGCCTCTATCAACAACACTGCCTAATAATTCCCCGTCTCTTGGCCGGACCAGGATTCCTAAGCAGCATGCTAATATAGACCTTCTTCATTCAAGATTTGAACCTCTGAAAGACAGTGTCATATATTTATTTTTGGTAAGAAATCTGAGCTGCAAACTCTGATGGCTGTGCTCATATCCCAGAAGCAAACAGCAGAGAAAGGTCTTGGGGCCACAAGTCTCACCTAGATCTGACGCTTGGCCTTTTGGTCCAGCCCCATGTGCCTCCAGTAGGCTGTATGGTTTGGCAAGCAAAATATTTTCAAGAACTGGCTAATTTTGATGCTAATCCTAAATATTTCAAGCAAAATCAGGCAGATAACAACTGCACTGCTTCAAGGGACTGCAAACAATTCTCAAAACTACTGCTGCTAACACCAGCTTTGTGGCTTTTCATGCCAATGAGCTGATTTTCACACTGCTTGTTCCTCATGCTGCTTGTTCCTTGCAGTCTGCACGGCCATTGGGGAACCCCGGGCAGAGGGTTTTAAACAGGACTAAAAAACAATATGCAGAGATCCGTGGAGCGAGAAGATGTGAAAAGGCAGCTCAGAGGAATCAGAGTTGCTTATGCAGCTTCCTCAAAATAACAAACGCTTTACAAAGTTAAAAGAGAAAAAATTAAATGTCTGTGGCTTGTACGTGCGGCTTTAACAGTCACAGATTAGGAAGCAAAATTTGCTCATTACAAAGAGTAGAGAAAAGACAGCACAGATCAGCTAAATGCGGGGGATTACACTGATAGCCTGTGCAGGGCTCCCAGGGGACCGTGCAGGCATTGTTCAACACTTTGTCAAACATGGAGGAGCCGGTTACTGTAGATGAATTTAATATAAAGAGGAATTAAAGGCATCAAAACAGCACAAAAGAATTTGTTACCGCGCTTACGGTTTCGTGCCACCAGCCACCCACGATAAACCCAGAATAGAAATTCACCCTTACACGACTACACACCAAAACTGTGTCACCTGCACAGGACTTCCCAAGCCACAGGCACACTTACAGGCACACCTAAAGCTCACACACACACCACAGTCAGGGCTGTTTTTAAGTACAGCCAATACTTCAGCCTACACTCTGCAGGGAACACACAGCCATTCACTCACCTCCGGCGATCAAAGCAGGCTGGTGCGCAACACCAGCACTTTTGACATCATCAGTTGCAGCGTGTTGCTTTTCGAGTCATTGAATTGACCTCGTAACAGGGGCTCTCTGTATTTTCATTCTGCCAACCTGCACCCACCGCGACAGCACATCCACACCACGGCTGCACTGGATCTTGTCGGGTTTTTTGCCTGCGTTTCCCTGGGCAGTAGAGCCAGACAGACACATATGGAACTTTCAAGCTTTATGACTTTAAAAAAAAACAAAAAACAACTTTGCCCCACTTTAACTGCCAGGAGTTTTTCACCTGTGCTGGTTTTCACGGAGCTGCTTTGCTCTTTGGTCCGTACTCTCCCCAAAGGGCTCGTGACCGAAGGTCGAGGAAGACCTGTGTCTGTGCCAAGCCAGACTTGCTCTCATGACAAGGGAAGCTATTGTGTTGCCTTTCTCCCATAAGGAAGTTAAGGGGAGGACTGGCACACGCTTTCCTGTGAAAGCAGGTGGTAATGGCTGGGTGGGATTTTTTCCTCCTTTAATAGCAGCAATGAGGAAAGTATGAGAGAAGTGAAAACAGGCTGAATTGTCAGGGTGCTCAGAGAGCAGCCCATTGAAGATGTTATCTTGCTTACAGTAAAGGTGTTTATGGTTGAACTAGTCTGTTCCTGTCTTAAGTGTGTCAATCTGACCCAGTGTGGCCAAGACATGTGCTAAAAACCACGGGGGCACCATGAGCTAACCAAGAAGGGTAGTCAGCACCAGCTGGTGCAACACTGGGAAGGGTCTTTGTCAGGTAGACCTTTTCCAGATCTTGTCACACTGAAGTCAAGACACAGTACAGAAACATCTCCCCAGGCTGAAGTCATTTCAGATCTCATTTACATGAGCAGGAAAGCAATGCTAGACAGACCTGGTCCAACACTGGAGACAAGGCATCCTGCTTAGCTAGTGTCCTAGCAGAAGAACTTGCCCCTTCTCACCACCCTGCAAAGGCTCATGGTTTCCACTCCTTCGTGTTCCTCCTGCCTGTCCCCAAGGGGTTTCCTAGTCCAGATGTCTAAACGCTGGCTGTGGAGTCCCCTCCCTTTCCATATATACCCATAAAAGCTGTGACAAATGCACCTTGGGAAGACAAGGATGTAGATACCTGCGGATGTGCTGGGAGGTTGGAAAGGGAAGCACAAAGGAAACTAGCAAAGAACACAGACAGCTTTGTGCCATCTTCCCCAAGTCACCACAAAGCACAGGGCAAGATGAACAAAAGCCTCTCCTTTGAACACAAACCTTTTGATCAAAGGCATCCCCCTACCTAGGGGGTAAGGTAAGGACTCCCAGTAGCTATACAGCCTCTGTGCACTTTGGTGTAACCTGTTCCAAACATCCTACCCCTCTTCCCTATTTTTCAAAGCCGGCTTTGTTAAGTTGGAGAGTCTGTTGACGTTCTGGTTTGTGTTCAGCTTTACCTCTTTGTCTGCTCCGCTCTTTGTATTTATTATGTGATCCCCCTCTCTCAGTGCCTCAGTTACTGATTGCAGAGCCTGAATAAAAGGCATGGCGAAAGTGAAAAAGGACACAGCTACTTGTGCAGAGACAGGCAGCTGAAGCGCTTTTGTCTGAAAGGCCGTGGTGAGAAGACACAGAGATAACACAAGGTGTTTCCCTACAGTCCTGCCCCCATACACAGCCCGTCAGTCATCTCTCTTGCTTGAGAGAAACTAAGGGAAATCCAGTTAAATAACCAGGGGGAAAAAACACCCTCAAAACCAGAGGGTGATAGAAAGAAGCTATTCCATCTAGGAGTTCAGATCAACAGCCTGCCACACTGGATGAGACAAATTTCCTTGGCTCCTTTTGCCAGCACTTTTCCTCGTGTTCGCGAGCTGCCTCGTCAGACAGCAGGAAGACAGATGGGTTCACTCTCCACCCCCTCCTCTTCTCCTCCTTGTCCTTAGAGGTGCAACTGAAGCCACATGTCGCAGTTCTGCTCTTGATAAACTCCCACAAGGGGCAGATGGGCCAGTTACTTTTACTTCTACTTTCCCAGCTAGCAACAAAGTCCTCTTGGCTGGTCACTGCAGGATTCAGTGCCAGGTTCACCCTTCTCAGTTACCTCTTTACTATGCAGATCCCCATGTCCACACTGAGCAGTAAAATATACTCCTGCCTTCCCCACAGTCACAGCTCTGCCAAGCCAGCCTGAAGGAGAAGATGGAGCTGAGGTTCCCCAAAGCCCTGCCAGGCTGGTGGCATCCTTCCCCAGACACCTTTCTCCACCTGAAGTCTTTACACAGCTAAACCTGCCCAGGAGCAAGCTGCAGCCGTGACAGAGAGCGAGCACGATGCTGGCGGCTGCCTGGTGGGGAGGAGGGAAAGGTGGGGTGACTCACTGGCCCCTGGGACACAGCCAGAGCTTGACTAATCATGTTTCATCAATCCTCCTGAGTTGCTAATTGGATGCATTTCATTCAGCAGACTCACCGGTGGGAGAGGAGCCACGCGGCAGGTACAGATACGTTCCCAGCCCACTCGCTTCGCATTAGTCCTCCTGCCAGATGCAGGGACCACACAGCAATGCCCTTCCTCACCCACCTCCCGTTAGCAAAGGCAGCCAAACCCTCACACCCCCTGCAGCCTTTCCACTTGCTCCGTCCCTGCTGTGGGGCTGGGGAGGGGACAGCACACAGGAAAGTCTCACCAGCAGTAAAGTTAAAAGGGAGGGATCTCTCAGCCCCCATTTCCCACTGGAGGGTTCCTCCAGCAGACTAGGGACCTTCAGTGCCTCCAGGCAACAGAAGATGTGCTTTGAAGCTGTATTTATAGGGCAGCACTTGAACAGGGAACTCACTGCACCACTAGAGGGGAAACCTTTGTACCAGCATCTTTCTACCAGCATGGTTGTGTTGGCTACAGAAATCATCACTCTTCTGTCAGTCTCGCTCATGGGAGAGCAGCAGCACTGGCTTCTCTTGAAGAGTAGAGCTGGGCTTCAACAACTGCAAAGTTATACTTGAAGTGGCTTAATTCAGTATGAGACATGACAGAGCACATGGAGTTGTGCTTTCATAAGCACTTCTGGATGTGCTGAGGACAAGCATGTTAGAAGAGCCCCCAGGGTTGTCAGCTCAGTACCTTTCACCATCTCTAAATGCTGTTGGAGTCACATTAATGCTCCCTAAGGGCAAGCCTTTGTGTAAGGATTCTTCCTCCAAAGTGAAGTCAGACTACATTGGCATCGCCCTCCCCAAGCACAGCAGCCGAACAACACAAGCACCACTGAAGGCCCCATCCTGAAGGTCTATACTAGAAATCAAAGACAAGTTCTGCCCTTCACACTGGGCCAAGTTTCAGCTTACACCACAGCAGCCAGTGGGATTTTAGCACAACATGGAGCAGACTGTACCCCAGGTACTGACTGCATCATCATCCAGCACTGCAGGAGAAAATGAGATCTGCAGGGTCTGGCTCTACAGAAACGCCTTTGGGGCAGTGACTTTGTTGAGCTTCAGCTAAACAGTGACACACACAGGTTTTGGTTTAGGCCTTAAACCTTATTTCTTCCATTTAAAACTAAGTTAACAGATGAGTCAGCCCTTCCCTCCATCCGGTGCTCTTCTATCCCCTGCAGGTTTCCACTCGCAAGGTAGGCAGGTTGAGAGTCAGTGACATCATTTTAATTATTCTGGTGTTTGGTTATTAAGTTGCCTTTGCTAAGTCTGAAAGAGCTCTTACGATTATCTTCCTACACATGCTGCTGGAAGCACAACAGCTTGGCGACACCAGGCTGCCATGCCCTGCTCCACCAGGCCCTTCAGAGGAGAAAGCAGTGCTCTCCTCAGGCAGTCACAGCAAGGAGAAGACTCCTGCCTCATCCAGGAGCAGTGCTTCTCACACCCACATCCCACTGCAGGCACAGGGATGCAGTCCTCTACCTTTTCTCTCACGGGGCTTGACCTCAGAAAGCCAAACACTAACATTTTTGCACACATTTTGGCACAGGGCACTCAATAGGGATAAGCATGGTGATGGAAATGGTGGGTGAAGTCACTGATGAAAGCTTCTTAAAGCTTTTATTGACTTATTCCATTAGGAGGTTGGTTCTTGGAGGTGCACCTTCTCCAGCAGCCAGGTCTTTCCCACTGAGAAATGGAAACAGGTTTGGAAAGGAGCAGACTGTTCACATCAGGATTCCCTCTGTCCTCCTCCTTGTCTACTCATAAATGAGGACTTCAGAGACTTTGGATTTCAACTTGCACAAAGCATTTTGGGGATGTAATTCTCCCTCCCCCTGTTGTTTGTTTTTTTTTTTTTTTTTTTTTAAAAAGGTCATTACAATCTCCTAACCCATAATCCCCAATTTAGACCTCCAAAGTGCTCCAGCAACATCAATCCATCATGTTATCAACACAGAAACTGCTTCAGAAGAGAAAGAGGCTAAAACGTCACCTCTCGGAGTGAGAATAAGTTGCCTGTCCTTTGCTTTTATTCAAGTCCAGATGCTTTTCCCCAGCCAACCACTGCCACTGAAGAAAGCACATAAACATTTGCTCTTGGGCTGAGACAGGTTGTGCCAAGCCACGGCCCCCAGCCAGTACTGACACAATCTCTACATTTAACACAAACACTGGCAGCTCCATGAGAAGGGATCCATTTGCTGGAATTAATATTCAGTCTTTCTGCAGCATGGGAAACATCAATTGTTTGGTGAGAAATAAATTACACGTCTTTCATGGGGGGATTTTAATGAGACCTTCCCCCTCTTTTCCTGACACTCTCAGACTCGGAGTAAAAGAAGAAAAAGAAAAACAACATTCCAACATCTCTCCATCAACCCTGCATCGTAATGATCCAATCAGGGTAATTAGGATGTCTCATGTGTGTTCAGGGAGGGTTTTACCCAGCAAATCCAACCCGCTGTTCATTATATTGCTACAGCATAGCTAATTACTCCTGGTTTTAGAGGGAAGGGGAGCAGACCAGCTTTGTACGCCGTTCGGAAAAAGGGCTATGCTAAGTACAGTCCAAGCCCAGCACATGTGAGAGCAGAGAAACACACACAGAAAAGAGAGATCCCTCCCCACTGGAGAGACTCCAGGCAGCCCTTCAGGGCAGGAAAGCGTTGTACACTGTCATGGCAATGGGCACAAATGGGAGCCTTTCCCAGGGCTCCTAGGAGCTGGATGTGCACTTCTCCATCTTCCTCCCCTTTCTACACCAGACACCACAGGTACAGCCATGACCCCGCAGGTGTGCATCCATATTCAGGCTGGCAGACCCTACCAAGTCCCTCTGCCATCAGGTTTACGGAGCCCCATCACCCAGAAAGGTGCCCTGGGGGCATCTGTAGCCCATCTTGCAGCCACTGGCTACCACACGAGCTGCTCACAGCCCACATCTCCACACCACTGGCCTGATTTATCATTTTTCCTGCCCACGTGGCAGCATGTACAAGCTCAGGGTTGCTAGGAATGGATTAGAGCTCCACTGTTGATACCCTGCTATTTTCTCATCTCCAGATTTGACTAAAGCACATAGAAGCATTGGTGTGTGGATGTGAGATAAGGGAGGACAACAGTGTTGTCTCAATCAAGGCCTGAATGGGCCACATAGCAACTTGGCCTGGTTTACACCAGAGTCTATTTCTTTACAGAAATTTC